TAATAGCGATAAATGCTAAATCTCGACGGTACACTTGATTGTGTCCAGTGGAGAAGGGTCCTTAAGTAAGAAGGAAAAGCATCACGGTAGTTTAGCTACCTGATCGAGAGGCTAAGTCACTACTTGATATCTGAACCTTGATGCTTCTGATAAGTACGCCATGGTTATGTAACCATGTCCCGATAATCCTCAATTACGTATGACTGTTTGGAAACTGAACCCGTCCTGCTGCAAATCACCAGTGTAGAGTGAAGGTGCTTCTGGTACGTGATTTGATGGTCACGGCCTACTTGAATGGATCTATAAGGAAACTTGGAGGAACCAAGAGGCAAGAAAAGAAAACTGCCGTTGCGAAACTGTCGGTTAAAAAACCGCTGCAATATGATATATGTCCTTGGCCTTTTTGCTGCATGTCAACATGATCAACATTGTCCCCGGGGACTGCAGACATATGCACTCCGATCAATCCTATATAGGAATAAGATCAGTGATATCACTGAATTTTCACTTAATTCAGAGACTATCTCTCGTTTCAGTGAGGTCACCTTCGGCATATCTTCCAACGGTTGTGGTGACTATGATCTATCCAAGTAACTGGCATAAGTGCTTGTCACCATGTTTTCCGAACTCGAGTCGGACCAATGAAGGTTCAGAATTATAACGGATTTGATTTTACGGTTTACGCTTTTCATGGCGATACACATGGGCCGTACCATCCATGGGGTGAACTTAACTGTTTTCCAGAAGGTATCGGGTCTCTTTGAAATTGTCTTGACATAGAACCTGGACTTACAGAGAGGTTTGTGGGCCTTCACTGTAGGAATGGCACTGTGAGACGGTAGTTGTATGCCGCGTTTTACAAAGCGTTCAGTATCGAACGCTGTGTAAGTGGACCACTTGGTACGGTCAGCTCTTACTATTCACAAAGTGGACAACACCAACAGTGTCTTCTGCCAGGAACTTGACTGCGTAAAACAGCTGTAAATGAATGATAACACTATATAATACGTTACATTAAGCATTGCCAGTTGTACATAATGGGATAGAGTACATCGGAATTTGTAAAGAATATACCCAGCCTGTTACAGAAAACTTCGTCCAAGGGGTAAAATTTGAAGATATTAGATATTAACACAAGTGTGCTTCAGGTACATACATGAATATCACAATTTTATAGAACTTTGGATGTTTGGAGCGCAATCCCAATTGGACGTTTCGAAACCAATAGTTGTACACAGGTTGTGGTGTATAGTATCTATTTCATTCTGTTAACTGCATGTTTAATCCATGCAGACTAACAACGGTTCATTTTGCGTTATACTCTGCATAATCTGTAGAGAAACCGTTCACCCCCACGCAAGCACAATCAACGGAATCTCATAGATACATCATTTATGTCATGTATTGCATATAATAGCACAATATTCTATCAGGTCTCTCCAACCGGAAGGTGTTCAACCATTGGAGAAAAAAGAATGGAACCAAGTGCGCAGTGCCCACAAGCGACAAGAAATGGGCTAGGAGCTCTCTACCAACTGAAGAGAACAGTAAGCCCCAGAAAGCCGGAGGTTGTACTACCACTGTACAAGGCCTTTGTGCGCCCCCATCTGGAGTACTGTATCCAGGCCTGGAGCCCATATCTAGTTGGGGATATAGAAGTACTTGAGAAGACGCAGCGGTGCTTCACTATATGGTTCCCAGGAATAAGGAACCTCAGACATGCTGACAGGCTAAAGAGGCTAGATCTTTTCTCCCTGGCAAGGAGAAGAAGGAGAGCAGACCCAATTGTGGTGTTCAAACTTCTAAAGGGTTTAGATGACATTGAGGAAGAAGGGAGACCACTAATAATTCTCAACTTTAAGAGGAAATAACCCTTAAGTTAGCTAAGGTCAGGGTATTCATCCGCGTAAGGTAGCAGTCCTTTACCATAAGGGTGGTGAACGACTGGAACAGACTACCCAATGAAGTAATCAATTCCAGTTCGGTGAAAGGTTTTAAGACCCTCCTGGACTCCGCATGGCGGGGCTTTTTCACCTAAGAAACCGCTGGAGCAACTTGACGATTTACGCATTATCTAGAATAAAACTTACTTATTCGGAACGAAGTTCTTTGTCTAACAACACAGTGTACTTTGCCTGGCGGCGCAGGAGAGGTCCACGACACAGTGAGTGAAAACACTCAAAGTTCTGGAGCGTTGGTGATAAGACATTTCTACCTAACGCATGCTACTGAACTGCGACGATGATACGCAAAATAGCTCACTTCTACTATTTTTCCAACACCATGTAGTTTACTTTCAAATAATGGATGATTTGTCAGTCGCATTAATTAATTACTTAGATAATTTTGATCAGAGCGGCACAATTTGTGCATTAGGATTGAAGTGAAAACACTGATTCTTACCAAGTACACAATTTATATAGAATAAATAAAAATATTTCTATTATTTTTATTACAATTAGACAGGCAGGCTCTTCTGGGGGACTGATAACCGGAGCATTTGACTCAATAAAACCGAACTCACAAGCTAGTTCCTTGAGGTTCGATGTAGAGGTAATCAGATCATAGGTTGAAGTGGATGAATCTTTACTTTCCGTACCTGTGTACTAGTGGGAGGGTTCAACATAATTGTCGTTTCGTTGATGATGTGTTCAAGTGAAGGAAAAAGAACTGTAACCCATGTGTATATCAAATAACATACGCCCTTAATATGAATACCACAACTTCAAACAGCAATGATATATCCAGCCAACCGAAAAAGGGACTTTTGGACCCTAGCTTGGATCAAAAAATATATTTATTTTGTAAAGCCTGTCCTTGCTTTTCATAATACATTGGGTCCATGTAATCTGTTGAACTTCATCTAGTGTTTAAACTAAGAGCAGGAACAATACACACCAATTTATACAAAATAAAGTTAAATACCTTTCACGACACCTCTCTTATTTGATGCAGCAAGTGCTTTAACCATAAAAAATGCTTGGCAAGTACTTATCTTTCAACTATAACACTAAAATGTCATTCACTGACAAAAATCTTCGGTGTTTGTTGTGCGTTCTAATGGAATGGAATGGAATCTAGTGTACAAATATTACATATACAATAAATTTTGATTTCTAAATAGTTTCATTTCCAAACGTTTGGTGGCATCCACGACAAAATTGGTATTATAAACCGCTGGTTGATTTGCTTTATTAAATATGTGTGAAGAACCTTCTACGAGTGAAAAAGTTTCAGGAAACGCAGAGAGCGGGTAAATTAGCTTTTAGTTGTGCACTTAAGTGGTTTATTTGTCAAACACAAAATTCAAGTTTCAAAAACAGCATCCTTACCTGCACAACGAGGTCACCCAAACATGTCTTTGGAATCCCGAAAGAATCACCCACGAGTCCTCTTTGAGTGTATATCTAATAAGAAATTCACAAAGAAAAGAAAAATGTTTCACCATATATGCTCGACATTCTTTTCAATGAGATATGTGCTTTCCAAGAAACTAGCATCCAAGGCGTGACTTGATTCATTGCATTGTGCATGGTGGTCATCCAACTGATATATAGAATGAACACTTTTTTTATTCCAGATATAGTGTCCCCTAAATAACCGGGTGAACACTTCAGAGGTTTCCGTTATTTGAATCAAGTCAATCAAATAAGCGCTGTGAACTCTTGTGGCATACGTGCAGCAGATTGTAGCTCCATCGTGTTCACATCTTCCTTCTCTACTACTCTGCACTACTTTTCACATCTATGCTTTCAGTTGCATTTAAGTTATAGCAGTGCAATCCGGTTGTCTGTAACTTATACTGGCGCAACGGTCGCAAGTATGGGGACAAAGTGGAAATTCCTTGGTGACGATGTATGCCAATGTCCCTCCTTCTGAAGTTATACCTTACTGCGATATCGTAGGATATATATATATGTACTGAGGAAATTAGCTTGTCTTATCCACGACGAATGAAAACCAAAACACAAAGGCGTTGTTGTTTTGGTTTTCATTCGTATGATGTTGGAAACTGAAATGTATTTCCAAAATGAGAGCTATTTTACACGAGTTTAATCAACATCTGTATTTTCAACACTTGATCCAAAACCTTTTCAAATATGCATAAGGCCTTGATGGTCAGTTTGCTTCACTTTTATTTTCCAAATTGTAAATTTTATTGGGCGTGGTAGGTCAAATTTCCTGATTGCATCAAATAACTGGTTTCACTGAACTAGGTGGTTTGATTTCCTCAATTTATGATCCAGATTCAGACCTATGTTGAGCCGAATACCAAGCTAACCTCAGCGCCAAATGATGGAGACGTTAGTGATCATACATGGGCTCACTTTTGTTCTTTTTTATAACCGTTTACTTCTGATTGTAGTTTATTTTCATCCTCTCTCTAAAGGTTTAAAACTAAAGCATCCTTTGAAACGATTGCCCACTTGTACACTTGCATGTGAGGCGCACTTTGAACTAAAATAATTTTGTTCAGATGATTTACCCTAGTTTGTTCCTTATATTTTAGCACTGTTTAAAGCACAAAGTCCAGATTCAATGCGAATCCGTCCGTTATGTTTTACTCAACTTCTTGCGAAATTCAAGGTAAACTGTTTTAAATTTTTCCGAACTGATGTGATTTTTAGTATCCCGGAAGACGCGTTGGAATCCCTCATTTAGTTGCCTGTTTTTTCTTCCTCGGGCTTTACGGTTACTGGATGCTTTTTATGTATGTCACAAAATCCGATCTCGCTCTTCCCGAAAACTCACAAGAACCCATGCTGAAATCTCCCACTAGTGTACCGGTTGTCAACAGAACTGAGTCCCATCCAGAGCTTGATTCTAATATGATCATGGCTCAAACAGTCCGATTGGCCATGGTTCATTCATGGAAAGCCTACCGATTGTATGCCTGGGGTATGTTTCCTCTATTCATCAGCAAACGTTTACCGTTGTCTGTTGTCCTCTTTCACATTAATGCAATTGGTTTTTGTGCATAGGAAAGGACGAGACAGAGCCCATGCGGCAGAGCGGGACCAAATGGATGGGCACCGCGCTGACCATGATTGACGCCCTTGATACTTTGTGGATTATGGGACTAACGAAAGAGTTCAGTGATGCTCGCAACTGGATCGCAGCAAATCTGAAGTTTGACACGGACAACGAACACATCAGCTTGTTTGAGACCACAATTCGCGTCCTCG